TAATTTACCCACGAAGCATGAAACTGAACAAGAGAATATTTTCACAGGATTTTCAGAATGTCATTTTCATTTCATTTCATTTTCAATACACGCTACGGGTACATATCTTCTCACTGTCTATCGCTGCAAATGGTTTTGGGTGTGATTTCTTATATGATTTACTTTATTTCGACGTTTCGGCTTCGGCACAGAAGAAATCATCCTAGGAATGTTTCACATATTGCCATTATTCATATTTCTAATGTTGCTGTACACCCATTAAAGACAGAACGATTTGTTTCAAGGTCGCGAACTCATCAACGAACCATGGTCTGCTTGAATACCCCTTTAGCATGTACGAACAAGAGAGGCAAGTCGCAGGCTATAAAATCTGCTTTGGAAGAGTTCTGAGCTTATTAGTATATCCTAACATATTAACCATTATTTTGATGTTGCGGCAAAAAGATACGAGTACATACCTACCTACTCCTGAAACATCAATGACGACAAGCGACGTACTGCGCTAATAAACTGATCTGAGATGCATCAGTGAACCGAGTATACAAAATTACCAAGAAACCGCAATCTCTACACACAAGGGAGCAACAGTATAATGCCATGTAAAAAGGTCTGCAAACTATGCTTATCTCATACATAATCAAGGAATGAGCGTAGACTCGGCACCTCAGAGATTGCAATACTTAAACAAAAGACACTCAAAGGACGGGATGCGGGTTAATATGTATTTGTCATTTATCACTGTTTCAGCGAAAGAACTATTGATAAACAAATGTAGGTCAATCTGAAAGTGCTTTCACCGCTTGGTACTGACCGACTCCCAGGCAGTCCCCACCAGAGAATTTGATGAGTTTCTGATGTTGAAACATTGCTCATATTTTAATCAAGTCCGACGATTCGTTGGTCGTTGATCGCGATGTGCCGTTACGCAACTTAGTCGCGACAGCCCTCCTGATTCGTTCGTTACCTTTGAATCTATTATAAAAATGCTGCACACGCACCCTAGACGGTAATGGTCAGATTTCGACAGGGTCGCTGTTTCCTAAACGCACAGTGATCGCGATGATCGAGAAGGCAAAGATGTTGACTTTTGTCACTGTTGTCAGGCTGAAGCTTTCTTGACACAAAAGTAAACCTTACATTCAGGTACCATCTAATAGAAAGGTTCATAATGGCAAAGCGAAGTATGTAAGAGCAGGGCAGGAAAGAAGCTAACAGTCCAAAATCACATATAGCTTCATACCCTGATGTCTACGGTATATCTGTTTTATTCGTTGACAAAGTAACATTCCGTGCAAATATGTCAACAGAAATAGATGTTTCTTTCATCAACCTATTGTGTATCGCTTTTTTCATCATTATAATCAGAAAAGAGTAGAGGGCTCGGTAGAATAGTTATGAAAGCACAAAGAAGCAGAGATCAATATAATTAACTGATTTAACTATTTAAATTATGCTTTATTTAAAACAGTTCAGATAAAGAAATAATTAGAAACTAAGGTGACTTATGTGAAACATCGTTTACATGTTTTTCCAGTTTTATCTGCAGTACTTTACAAATGCGTCACAATGCCCATTAAACAGCATAAATGAACACGGCGGACGTCATGATTGAGACCGAGGAAAGGAAAATGAGGTCACAATGAGGTCTTTTCTTCATGTTGTCTGCCTTATGAGCCGATGAATTAACTAAATGGAAAGAAAATCCAGACAACATTTAACGAAAATCATGAGGAAAGAGCAAAAGACAGCCGTGCAAAGGCAGTGCTTCGATTTGAGCTTGAGACTGTGCGGTCATCCTCTTCAAGAAGAAATGAACTTGTGCCAAAAGTCATAATAAATAGGAGTTTCAGAACGATTATAGAACTTTTCCGGTAGTTTTATTTCTTGTATTATAATCAGGTACGTATCTTGGTTGCTAAACAGTCGTGCAGATCTCGGC